CGATCCCAATACGAAGTTCGCGAACATCAGGGATATCCATCGGGCTCAAATCGAAGCGGGTGAAAAGGAGGTTATCACGGCTGAATCCAGCGACTCTGAATGCCCTAGTGAGGCTGGCAGCTGTATTGTAGTGGGTGTGGTTGAGGATCAATAGTTAATAGTAATGAGGAGGTTGGGTTGTGATCCCATCGTTTTTGTGGTGCCAGAAACAGGGGGGTGCCAGGAAGTGGGTATGTTGACTTAACATGTCGCGAATGTCGAAGCCAAAGCAACTGTGATACCATCAGCTGAGCCGAATTTAATATTGACCCTCTCGTTGATCACTTTTACAAGAGTTTTTGATACTCTCTCGAACATCTTGTGTGTTGTCGTTTGCTACCGGTCTCGATCCAAAATTCGCTTGGTGACGGTGGATCGAGTAAAGACACCAACCACCCCAGAGAGCCATGACAGGCAAAAGACGAAGAAGCTCGGAGACCACTCCCTCCGCAGCCAACGATTTCAGCTTGCAAAATTTGATTCGAAGAGCTGATCGCGGACTCGCGGGTCGACTACCGGAGCCCGGTCCTCATGCAGACGTCTACTTCCGTAACCTCTACTCGACGGAACCTGACTTTGGGAAGCTAGGCCGCCAAGACCCAAAATTTGGCACTCTGTGCGTAACAACATCACGAGACTCTTCTTTACCTCAGCTGACCGACTGTTACTCAGGCTCAAACGTGGAAATCTTGATTTCAATGATCCATCTGCCGTAATGCAGCTCACAAAGACGCTACTGAAAGCTGACTTTGGGCTGGATATTGAGCTACCCGACGATCGTTTGTGTCCGCCAGTGGGTTCACTCCTCCAAACGTCTGGGACATCTCTTCATCACACTGCTGACAGCAAAAGGTACCAAACCGCCACAATTACCTTCTTTGGCTCAAGACCCTACTAGATAGCACTACCTACAGTGATCCGGATCAGAAAATCCTCGGGCTCGATATCGGCACCGGAGCAAGCTGTATCTACCCGCTTCTGGGATGTACCCAGCGGAAATGGTCCTTCTTCGCAACGGGTATATTACTGTTTCTCGGATGTTTTTGTTGAGATACTGATTAGCAGCAGACATTGACTCAAAGAGTCTGAAATTCGCCGAAAAGAACGTAGAGTTGAATAACCTTCAAAGTCGCATCTCCATCATTGCTCGTGCACCTCAAGATCCCATGATCCCTTTGGCCGCTTTGGGCACAGAGTCGCTCACCTTCGTCATGACGAATCCCCCATTCTACACATCCGAAGACGACCTCCTCAACTCGGCGAAGCAAAAGTCGCGCCCTCCTCTGACGGCATGCACCGGCGCCCCAGTGGAGATGGTGACAGACGGCGGCGAAGTCAAGTTCGTGTCCAAGATCCTTGAGGAATCACTCATCCTGCGCGAGAGGGTCCAATGGTACACGTCCATGTTTGGGAAACAATCGAGCCTCGAGGAGTTTATCGCAATTTTGAAAGAGAAGAGCATCGATAACTACGCAGTGACGGAATTTGTTCAAGGTAACAAAACAAGACGGTGGGCCGTCGCGTGGAGCTTCGGTACGATGAGGCCGTCAGAGGAGACCGCGAGGGGGATGAAGGCTGCAATTTGGAAGAAGCTGCTCCCTCCGAGTGTGGAATCTGAAGTCACTGCATTCCCGCTTGGCACAGAGATAGGGAAGCTGCAAGATAAGATCCAAGAGCTCATGTCTTCATTGGAACTGGTCTCCTGGGAATGGGACCGTCAGAATCTTCTCGGTATCGGCAGGGCGCGAGAGAACGTGTGGAGTCGCGCCTGGAGACGGAAGAAGATGCGGGAGGAACGAGAGGGCAAGGCTGCCGTCGAGGGGTTGTTGAACTCTGAGGTATGCAAGTTTGGTTTCGAGATTGCGCTGGATGTTGGACGAGAGAGAACCATCCTATGGTGCCGGTGGAGGGAGGGGCATGATCAGGCACTCTTTGACAGCTTCGGTGGTTTTCTCAAGACTCGCGTGGCCTTGTGATTGATCAGTCTCATCACTACCCGAACCAAAATTTGCGAGCGACAGGTTGTTTTCTCTTCCAAAACAACATCTATATATTATAGATAAGGTCGTGAGTCAGCGTCTGTACAACCAAGATTCCGTTGAAGCTTTCGGGCTGCTAAAGACTGTGGCAAAAGCCTTGCCCTTAATTGTGATCGATGGCTACACCATCGCCGTGAATAGCTCCTTCTTTGCCTAGTGCCTATGTCGTGCAGATGCCTTCAGCTCCGACTCACCTATAAATGGGAATTTAAATGGGAACAAAACTCTTTCCTCATAAGGGCAGATAGAATGGCTCGTGAGTGTGAATCACAATCTCAATTGATTGCCATATCCAGTATGGGTACCTTAGCTGGCGGCGAACATCAGCTGGTCGGTGAACCGCGGCGGTATTGCATTTATCACATTCACTTCAACACTATGAGCGTTAGGAACACATATAAATACACCCTATCTATCAAGGAGGAAACATGGTGGTACGTCTCCTCATTATCACACTTAACAAGTATCTCTCAAGAAGCTCTCATCTTCCCAACACTTTAGCCGTACTAAAGCAACCTGATCGAGCTTCTTAAAACGCCAAAGGCCAGCCACATTTACATCCCAACACTATCCAGAATGTGCATACCAATAAGGTCAAAGACCTGCCGCCACGGGATTTCCAGGAATAGCTGCCCCGACTGTGCTCCTGCCTTGAGGCTTTGAAAATGGAACACGCCAAAAATTTGGGGACTCAAGGTCGAAACCTTCCTATATACACTACGACAGGTTCTGCCTCGATGGTCTATGTATACTACCGCATCTCGAGTGGCGCAGTCAAATGTAGCGAACCGGTTTCTTAGGTCCATCCGGTACTTTAGTAATGAGATAATCTAATTCTTTTTCACCTGTGCTTTTCCATGTAGTTCTCTATGAGCCCTTTGTCTCATAGTTATGCCCTCAACGTGACCCTCAAGTTTATTTGCATTTCATGTGCTATCCAGGGCGGATTTTGACCTTTCAATCCGCCATACCATAGTCTTTGGTGACTTCTAGGGCCTTGAAGGGCTAGCCGCAAAGACCCGATTGCTGTACCTTATGCTCAGAAGATCGCGAGTACATGTAGTGCTGGCTAAAGATCATGGCTCTCTGAAAATCTCAAATGCACTAGTAGGACATGAACACGGTGGTGGCTCCCGCATCAATCTCCGCCCACGCGGTGGCCAGAAAGTCTTCCGGTTGAGTGAACTCGTACTCAGGCAAGAGCCGGTTCCACTCGTCAGAGCACTCCAGGTTACCAGCCACAATACCCCGCAGCATGCCAGAAAGCAGGCTAGGAGCGATTGCATCTAAAGTTTCGGGGGGTATCGATGGGTGCTCAACCTTGGGGAACCAAGGGGCCTTGACTACCCCTGCTTTGAGGTCGTCGGACTTGAGCTTGGTCACGTCGAAAGGCTCGCCTTTGTTGGCATATCAGTGACTTGTCCACAGAAAAAACAAAATGTCTGAAAGAAAGATGGATCGTGGGTAACGGTTCAGTCACCTACCACGTATCTTCTCGCCTAGCGCAATGAGCTGCGCGACTGATACCTGCGCGCCTTGGACGCCGCCAATGACAGGCCATTCGCCTTCATACTCCACAGCTAAAGCGACAACTCTAGCAAGATCCTGCGCTGTCGTGAAGGTAATAATGGCGTTTTCACCTCCATTAACGATAAGAGCGCGACGTTGATAGAAGTTAAAGGGTGTCTCGAAGAGCTGGACATGCTTGGAGGAGCTGAACGGATATGTCATATAGTTGGTGAACAATCCCGGTTGGAACAGACAGTATTCGAGGACCTAGCGTCTCCAACTTCGATGAGTCACGTGTACCGGGTCAGGGTTGGGGTAGTTAACTTGAGAACGCGAATACCTTCTTGTCTTTGTTGATGGTTGCGAGGTACTTTCGAGTCTCTTCCTTGAAGCCGTACCAGAACATGTACTCCAGTTTGGAACTAGATCAATCAGACACGAAGTAGATGCATGAGACATGATGTAGAAGACTCACGAACCCCACTCGCTTGGAGCAAATCGTCTAACGCCAGCTTTGATGGATGCATCGATCAAATTCTTTTGCGTATCTCTCTGTGCGACGTTTGTTGGATCGACGGGTCCGGCGACAAAAGAGAGAACAGTGTGAACTCCTTCAAGCACTTGAGACAAGTGGGCAACATCGTTGTAGTTTGTCTTGAGGGCCAAAATCGGTGACAGGGACATCCTGCAAAAGTCAGCTAATTGTTGATAAAATATGGCGTGGGGGACAGGATTGAAGCAACTTTTCTAGATAAAATCAAGATTTCGTGCTTGCCTCTAGCTACCAGAGCATCTAGGATCTCTCGTCCAACATCTAACCAAGGTCTTCATTAGTCGGCGCCTAGAAAAACTGAAAAGTTGTCGGAACCTACTGCCAGAGCCGCCAGCAATCGCGATTCGGACCATTTTCAAGCGTTGGTCTACTCGTGGGGGTTGGTTTTCTCAACTTTTGACTCTAGATTGTTGTCCTTCTTTGGATGGTCGATCCTACGCTTATTGGGTCTTTGCAAGATTGAAGGTAGATTGGAGGCAGCATCACAGGGCGAACGGCACGGAATATATATATGTACATCACTCATTACATATCGTTGCAGACGATTCATATCTCCATCCCAAATGTCTTTCTAGGCTCCGCCGCTCATGCGGTCTTCCCGTCCGGCCTCAACACTTGTGAGGACTAGGATGTGTAAGACCGCTAGGTACCAAATCGTAGCTCCAGCCTTCGGTAGTCTATTAGCCCCACCCTCCGCCCGATTCACCGGTGCGGCGGCGGAGCATGGCGGGGGATTACTAATGGACAACGTTCTCTCCTTTGTCAGCTGATCGCCGCTACACTCCGCCGCCAAACCGGCGGTCGAACAAAGATACGCCTGTTGGACTTTCTTACGAGTCACACTTGACAACAATGACCTCAGGCTATATGCTGAGTGTGTCGAATCAAGCATCATGATGGCCGCAACTGAAAGAATCCCGACCGAGGAGCCTCCAGTTGCCGACTCCGCTCCGGCGCCGAAACGGCGAAAGCTGCGCAAGGGGACGCAAAGCTGTTGGGAATGCAAGCGACGCAAAGCCCGCTGTACATTCTCGCCCTCCACGCAGGATATCTGTGATGGCTGTAAGCGTCGCGGAAGTGATTGTGTCAGTCAAGATGTCGCTGATCTGCCTCCACCTCCTGGCAGCAACAAGCACATCGTAGACAGACTTGGCCAAGTTGAGGCGCTGGTGAGGCAGTTGATAAAATCAGGGACCGAGATCGAGCACCGCATTCAAGATCGACCGGTCTCTCCAGCTGGATCTCATAGCCGGATCTGGGATGAAAGGATCACGCCTAGGCGATCCGCTTCCCCCACCGTTCTCTCAACCGCAACCTCCCAACCACATTGCTCAGAATCTCGAAATCAAGATGCTCGAGCTGAAAAAACGGTGGTACGTGGTTGTATTTGCACATTGCATGACACTAAAGCTGATCGTTTAGGAAACACATACTCAAAGGAGCGTCTCGCCTGCGCGCTCCGTAGCGGAGCGACTAGCCCATCCAACTCTCGCTGCATCGTCCACACAAGCAGACGAAATCATCTCCACGCAGCTTCTCGCTGCATGGCCAAGTCCGGAAGACATGGCCATCATCTTGGCGATTCCGGTGGAAACTTCGCAAATTATTCGAGCTGTCATATGCACTAGGATAAGCCCCAACCCATCCACCCTTCCGCTCTCCGCGGCTTTACTACAACTACCGCCCACTGGGTCACATCCGGTGCTCATCGCGAGGAGTCTATTGATCTTAGCCTCGTTTCTCCAGGGTATGCCATATTCCGCGTCCCATCACCTAGAGAAGCTCAGCACCAGCTGGTACAACATGATGTCACGAGCGGTAAAGACGGCCCACGACTTGGTCACATGCAAGGATGATCTAGTCAATTCTCTGGAAGGCATTGAATGCATCATGCTGGAGGGCCTCTATGAGAACTACGCTGGCAATCTGCGTGTTTCATGGCTCGCCGCACGCCGGGGAGTCGCAATTGCGCAGATGCTCGGCCTCAGTCGGGGCATCAAGCCGCGCTCCCTCGTCGGCTCGATCATTGAACCGAATGATCTCTGGTTCCGTCTCGTACAGTTCGATCGCTACCTTTCCCTCATGTTGGGCTTGCCGCAGAGCGCACTCGAGGACGTCTACGCTCGCCCAGATACATTGGAAGGATGTCTTCCATTAGATCGGTTTCTTCGCCTCTGCACTGTCGCTTGCGGACGCTTACTGCAACGGGATCCTTCGGAGGTATTTGACTACGAAAAGGCCCAAAATATTGACAAGTTACTGCAAGAAGCCTCAACCGTAATGCCAGCACAGTGGTGGGTCGCTCCGACCCTCGCCTCGGAGAAGGGCCATCTGGAGAAGATTCGGGAAACGTTACGGTTCAACGACCACTTTATGTACTATCATCTCCTTCTCCAGCTCCATTTCCCCAACATCTTACACCCAATATCAGAGCACGACAGAGCGACAGCCGTGACGGCAAGCCGGGAGATCCTTTCTAGATTCTTGTCCTTTCGCGCGACTAGACCGGCGCGATTCTATTGCCGAGGTGTTGACCTCATAGCATTTCTATCGTGTACCTCATTGTGTCTAGCGCACATTTGCAACGCCCCTCAAGATACAACGGACGGAAGGAATACCTACTTCTCTGCACATCAACGCCTCAGCGATCGGGGCATGGTGGAGCAGGCTCTGGTCGTCATGCAGAAACTTGTGGATCAGTATAACGATGAGATCGCTACGAGAGTCGCTACACTTCTCAAACACCTCTTGCGCATCCAAAACGACATAACATTGGGAGTGAGATACAAGGTCGCATTTTCGCCAGAAACATTCCTGGATGACGATCTTGGGTACCGAGTGAAGCTGACGGATCAAGACACTGTCCTCAACATCTGTCTACCGCACTTTTGGGTCATCAGGATTGAACGGTTGTCTAATGGGACGTTGATACCGACCGGATCGAATTCGCAACCTCTGTACCATCGTCGTCCCCAAGATGAGCGCCCATGCTCAACCGGAAGTCAAGACGCCGTCGTTCCGCTTCCTGGAGATATGGAACTGCAGAATCTGGTACAGTACCCATGTGAGGAAAGTTGGGCACTGAATAATTTGGATTTCACGTTCTTGGACAACTACATGGGGGGTAGCTTGGGTACGGGCACCGAGACTGCTTAGCAGGGGTAGTTTGTGAGATCGCTATTAAGAACAGGAGGAAAAGCAGCTTTTTGGGCTGATCAAAGTTCAGAAAGCAAATGAATCGGGAAGAGATACTCATACACCTGAGTTGGTCAGGATACCATCAGAAGAGCGAAAAAGAACAAGATATCTGGCAAGGAAAGAACATCGGAAAAGAAGGTCAGACCAGACCAAGATGTCTGAGAGCAGTCCAAACTCTGTGCACATTATTTCCCATCCCATTCGCCGCCAACTGCGGTCCCATCATTCCCCTAATGTGTGTCTGGCCAATGACATCCATCGACTCCCACAGCTGCCTTAACAACTCCATTTCAAATATCGATTCGCGAAAGATGCGAGCATATCCCACAAACAGAATCTGCATCGCCGTGGGAGGCAGAAATGCCTCCACGCTCGGCAAAAAGTCGAGGAGGAACTCTGCAATCGGTCTTGCCAGCAAATCGGAGCAGCCAAAGGCCCGGTCCTGGTCCAGCACGCAACAGAGAATGAAGATGTGCCAGAATATCTCCCGTACCGTCACGAATCGATCGCGGGCATTTGCGAGGAGGTAGCGCGGCCGGGCGAACAAGTCAAAGGCGGCGCCGCCGCGACTGCCAGTGCCCACGCCCATACCCGCACCCATGGCCCCGTACGGCGGCGCGTATGCCTGGCTTAGCGCCTCGAGGTGTCTGAAGATGAACGTCGCGCCGCGGGCGAAGGCCTGGTCAAAGTTTTGGGGATCCATCAGGGTTCCCATGAAGCCGTCTTCGTAGCCTCGGAGGAACTCAGGGACGGGGAAGAGGCCCTGCTGCATGAAGTTTCGGGTTCGGGGGAGGTGTTCGTGGAGTAGATCGCGCTCGAGCAGAACCCGCGTGCCATCAGGGAGGAGGACTGTGACTCGGTTGCGGATCCGGCCTGGCTGGTTGGGATGCAGGGGCGTGGGGCCGAAGTTGTTGTTAGTGATGTTGAAGAGTTGCGAAAAGTCGAAGAGGCGGGGTCCTGGATTCGCAAAGGCTGGAGTGGAAGGGCCGCGCGGGTTGGGCCCGAAGTTGTTGAAGTTGACGCCAGGTCTGGTGCCAGTTGCGTTATTGAATCGAAACCAGTTGAAGTCTGGTTGGGGCTGAGTAGGCCACGGGCGAAACATTTCGAATCAGGAGCACAACTGGGTGTGTGAGATTCGAGTAATCCCATCAATAGTTAGGAACGCTACGACAGAAGGGATATAGATTTGGGTTATATTGGAGAAATCTTCATCGGTCTCAATGTTTTAGCCTCATCGCTCTTCGCTACACACGCACAACCGATACAGCAAGCAAGGGCGGGGTCCGGTGTTTGCTGCTCTGACCTATAGCCTGTATGTGCCGAGTTCTTTCTGGCGGTGAGGACCTGTATGCAGCCGAATTACTGTCGATTCGGTGATAATCAGCTGTGTGACGGATGCACACATAGCGGTCAAGGATGCCGCAGGGTACCAATATCAGTGCGTTCAACCTCATGAGGCGGTGGTACATAAGCAGAGTATGAAACTATACATCGTTTCCGTCCACCACAGTGCGGATTTGATCTATGTTAAATTGGGTGGTCGAAGTTACAGCAGAACGGTTTAGGGTGAGGTTTTACAGATGGCCCTTCGTCAGAAACTCAACTTTGCCGCCTTCCTCAGTTTGGAAAATGACCTGGAGGTACCGCAGACTTCAAACTACCTGAGTAGGACGTACCTTGTTCAGTATGTTCAGAGTTGAAAGACACACCAATACAATGGGGATGCTCACGGTAGACTGGCGGAAAGAACTCAGCTGCGGACTGAAGATTAGCAAGACGAATGCATGTTTCAGGCTAAACCACTGCATGTTCTTCTTTCAAAGCAATTAAATCACTGACCTACATTGAACTCATCGTTTATTTGCATCGTGAAATTTGTCGGAATTCTTTTGCTTCATTCCCTCCCTGATAAAGTACTCGTTACACAGCTTCAGATGTGGCTATTTCTGTGGCGAGGCACCCCTAGTGATCACCAAACCCACGGTCTCTGCGGCAACAGTCGATCTAGGAATGAATGCCATCTGGAGACAGAGGGATGGGTGATTCTACGGCCTACTAGTTTCGAAGCAGTTGACATAGGTGAAGTGATGGAGAGATGAGGTATTTCTCACAGCCAACCCTACTACCTACCGAGCCCTTGCTCAAAAATAGAGACGTCGAGGTCATCGAAGATTGCTCTGATACGCCAAGCTTCAAGCGCTTCGGCTGTACAAAAAAACCCGACTTACCGAAGAAGTGGTGCCAAGCGATGAAAGACGTAATGAGAATAGATGGTTGCATCGAATAGACATCCCCATGCGAGTTGCAAACCCTCGGTAGGATATGCGACGAACCAGCTGTAGATACGTCCCGCACGGCATGTAACTCAATATAACTTCCTACAAAACCTAGAAGTTGTGGCTAGCGCACCATGTTCGGAAGTATACATTACCGCAGGAAGAGTTGGGAAGGTGTTTACATGGTTGCCTATCCAGCTGGCACTGCGCAGATCCTACCCCCTTAGTAGAAGCCTGCAGTGAGCCCCTTATTGAACAAGACATGGTGTATCCAGACGTCAAAGACAAGCGGGCCTTGATACTCCCGATATACGCCCGTGTCACGCGAGCTGACTTGACTCCGGACTTAGTAGACAATGAAGCCGAGGTAGTAGCTCGAACAAATGATGAACCAGGCGCGAACTCCTATCAACCGCATCCACTCCCTGCTTCTTGGCGAACTCATTGCACACGGCCCTGGAACTTTAAAAGGCTTCAAGCTACAAAACTTTCTTCTATCTCAAGTTAACCACTCAACCCTTAGTTTTAGCGAGACCTTTGCAACTGGGTCCGAGATTCGAAATGAAGCTTTACACAGTCATACCGGCTTTGTTGCATTTGTCTCTATCCGCCACTTGCTATGCAGCCAAGTCATTCTCCGCCTCGAATCTTTACTATGCTGCTGGCCTAAATGATCAGCAACAGACCACACTTTTCCAAGGCCTCCAGAGCGCTGGTGTCAAGGTTCTACGAGTATGGCTTGATGGTAAGAAACATTTGGCCTAACGACAAAGATGATGCGTGCACACTGATTCATTTCTTGTCGCAGGCCAATCGGGAAGCGAAAAGGGCACAACTTTGGACAACTTCAACAGCCTCCAGGGTGACGGTCCCGATACGTGGGACGACACCGTACTCAACCGCCTCGACAACTTCATGGTTCATGCCCACGACTACGGCATCAAACTGCTCGTTTCCATCCACAGTTACAACGCTCTCGAAGCAAATTCTGACTTTTACGGCAAGTGGTACGGCACCGGCGACTTTTACACGAACAATGAAGCGATGGGGTACTTCAAGACGCGCATTGCGCATGTTCTTGGACATGTGAACCCCAAGAATGGCAAGACCTGGGCTCAAAGCTCTGAGTACATCTTTGCCTTTGAGGCGCAAAACGAAGCTATGCATCCACAGGTAAGACGACATTCCGCCAACGGGCGATATGACTAGACTGACGACGCCTTCAGGGGAACCCATCAGCCCTAGCGTCATGGCAGTGCACGATGGCACAGGCAATTAAGCAAGGCCTCAACGGCGGTACCGATATTCTAGTCACTACCGGAGGCGGTGCCTACGTCGACAACTCTCTACTAGACCCATACTTCAGCTGCAGCGCCCTGGACGTCCTTGCCATCCACGCCTACGGAGTTGACGATTTCGCTACGTCAAAGCTTCAGCCCTACGTCACCAAAGCCAAGAATGCTGGAAAGAAGCTCATCATGCAAGAATGGGGCGCCTGTTACACGGATGCCCCGAACCACAACTGCAACGGCGGCAGTCCCATTGGTACAGGAACCAGAGACTCCAACATTCGTACTTGGGCTGCGAGTATCGACGCTGCCGGGATTCCGTGGTTCTACTGGCAGATCTTGCCCAACCCTGACCCCCACCACGGATGGGACTATGAGGTGGGAATCAACGATGTGAATTGGAACGCGCTCAAGGCGGCTGGTCTCGCCGCAGGCCAAGCAGAATCGGCATTCGACTTTGACCGTTATCTCTTGTGATGGGTGTAAGTCAAAGTACACAAAATGGTTAACCGGTGGAATGTGCGCCAGCCATACAACAAATGAACAGAGAGGTTGATTAATGAGAAGCCAATTCTTGAAGGCTATGTCAGATGAACGTCGATGTGACGCGGAGAATGGAAACAACCAGGCGGAAATCTCCCAACTGTGAATTGGCCCACGTCCAGGCTAGTCCATGCCAATGTGCCTAGCTTAGGGTAGGCAGCAGCATCTTAGCGTATCTAGTATCCTTACTTAGAGCACGTACATATTCACGTATTGCGCAGATGGATGACCGGTAATTGATATTCCCGCATGCAAGCCTGATTCATTCTGTTCTTCAAGTAGCTAAACTATAAAACCTCACACTGGTGCCCATAGCTGGCATCGTTACGATACAGTATTGAAATTGTTTCCTGGAACCACCCAGAATGGATATCACCCGCCAAAGGCACCTTCTCCTGGAGAGACTCAGCCCAGGTGATCGTTCCTCAAGGAAGTTTCAGGAAACTGCTGGTCGACGTGTAGGGACCATTGGTGAATGGGTTTTACAAAACCCACAAGTACAGCATTGGGCCAAGTCTCAGGGACCGCAGTTTCTCTGGGTTCGTGGTGATGGTACGCACAGCTCGATTCCATCAAATTGATGAATTTGCGCATTATGCGCTGCTTTTCAGTCGCTAATTGCACTCCAGCATCGTCCGGAAAGAGTTGCATAAGGTATGGCGCTCAGACTCTTGCCTCTGGCGGACCTGACGATTCATTTCCCACAGTTCGCTCCTCGTCGAACACCTTTCAGCCACCCAGCTCGATTCCAACATGAGGTTCGCCGTCGCTTGTGTACAATTCGAAAACAAAGGAGTCTATCACTCATTGGTAGACTTCGGGGCTGCGATCACTTCCATTACCAGGCAGATTGTAGCCCAACTCCCCGAGTCGTCCGAGACCCTCAAAAGACTCATCTCCGCACCAGCAATTGTGTTCACGTGGTGGTTAGACAACTTCCAGGTAATCTGGGCCGAACTCGAAGCATACTTTGAAAAGATCTACATCGTCTTAGACGGTCTAGACGATCCAAATCCGGCCGCGTTTTGCGACTTTGTGGCCAAGCTTCGCCTCTCGGACAAAGAGTCGTCCGTTCATGTTGTTCTATTGAGCCGCTCAAAGCCCTTTGAGGAGGCCCTTCGAAGGTTTCAAGGAGCGAGCCTAGAGGTATGTGCAAGTCAGAAGGATCTGATTCAATACCTCCAGCAGTCTTTTCAAAGCAACCACGATGTACACGCTGGAGCGCTATCCAAATCTGAGCTGGCACAGACGTTGACGCGATGGGCTGGGCTTTTCGACCACCGGTAGGTGCGCGCACATATTCATGACCACAACCTGTCTGGCATTCGCTCATGATCAACGCTATCAAGTTTTATGCCCATATCTGGTCAAGACTTTCACCAATCAGCATCTCCAACGGGTTTCGGGGTTTTGGAGGCCGTTTCGCAGAAACTCTCTCGGGCGAATGCTTTGCAGAGGGGCGCCACGTTTTGCGAGCTCGCCGTGACTAGCATCACTCAGTCTGCACACGGGGACCTAATCATGACGATTCTCTATCTCCTCATCGCGGCCGAGAAGACTAGACACCATCTGAATGGCGAGGCTATCTTGGATGCATTGCGTATGAGCGATCAGTCGCTTGCAGGTGCCTTGCCAGCAACGACGGGGGATCTTGCCCGCATGTGCTCAGACTTTGTCTTTGTCAGTGAGCAAACACAGGTATGGGTCATCAAGTCTCCTCTTCTAGCAGAGCATCTCGATGAAAGACGTGCGTCACACTGCCCAACGGACACGATTGCCAGCATATTCCTGCGATATTTGTCGAAACAAGAGTTCACAGCCGGCGCGTGTGGATCATCTACAGCGCTCAAACGCCGCTTCAAAGAACATGCACTACTATCGTTTACCGCACGAAACTTGAGCCTATGGATGGCTTATGTTGACGTGGAAAGCATCTCTGCGGCTTTCTTACAATTCTCTTCCAAAGCCGCTTCAATCGATTCCTATTTGCAAGCAGCCGAAGCCTGGGAGTTTAATGAGGAATCAAGCTACGAAGAGCTTGAGGCTGTTGAAGAGCGCTGGAATGTCTACCCAAAGGGATACTCGGCGCTTCATCTCGCCGCCCATTTGGGAGCAGGGAAGACTATTGTAGGTGAACTTGTTCGGCTCGGTGCGGATGTGGAGGGGCTAGACAGGATGTTGCAAACGCCCTTGCATGTTGCAGCCTACGGAGCACAGTTTAAAGAAACGATCCGAGCCCTCTTACAACACGGAAGTGACGTGTCTGCCTTGGACGATGGGGGGCAGGAACCTTTGTCGATCGCTTTGGTTCACGGGAGCGTTGGAACGGTCCGAATACTCATTGACCACGGTGCCAAATTTGATACGAGCGATGAGGATCTTCTGGGAGAATGTCTAGAGGAACAACCGCAAGTCTATGTATATTTGATTGAACGAGGCCTGATCTCTAATCAGAGCTAGGTGTATAATAGAGCATTTCGCATCTTGCGGCGGAAACAAGTCTTGCAATAACTCCTATTCATCCTGGAGTTCCACTTCTCGACTCCTATTTCTTATACGATGAGAATCGTCGACATTTGCCGTCAGATCTTGATAAGGCGCATTCCTCCCGTCGATCGTCTCCATATAATCCAGCGCGGTTTTTTCTTCGAGTCACGCCAGGGTCGTTGGCACCGCTGTTCTGACCGCGCACGTTATGAAGAAGGCGCTCAATCTCAGGCGTCGTGAGGGCCGAGGCCTCTTCTGTACGACTGTTTCCCCCGCGACCATTTGCGGTTCCACTTGCGTAAAGACCACGATCGCCGTTTTTCAATGATCTTCTCGAGATTCCACGCTTCACCTGGATTGAAGTTGCAGGAGATAAGCGAGCTTCCGTTGAGGAGTTTACGCACCGCCTGCGGAAAGTCTTCGAATAGGAAACAACGACTGAGGGGATTCGAACCCGTGAATTCATGATCAGAGTAGGATGAACCCCATGCGCCAACTCTTCTCTCTGCCCAAGACAGCTGTGGCAGAATACCTCGTTCGAAACATTCCTCCCTTGCCTCCTGCCACGCGGCGTCTCGCAAGACGACCTTTTTGAATATTTGCTCACACTCCCAGTCGCCCTCCGAGTCTCCGACAAACATCAACTTGAAGGCGTCTTGAGGCATACCAGCTGCAGGTAAAGCCAAGGCCTCTACCATCCAGGTGGCTATAGAGTAAGAAATCTCGTCTGTCTTCTTCTCCCTCAGAGGCAATTCCTCTTCCCAAGGTTCCATACTAATGGGATCGCCCTGAAGGATAGAGTCCCATACACTGACGCGACGCTCGATGCGTAACAGCGGGTTCTCTTGGCAGAACCGGATCAACCCTAAACCGTGGCATTCCGGGTAAGACAGTGACGGTCGATCTTCTATAAGTTTGATGTAACGAATATCGGCTCGAGAGGATGGAGTCATCGAATCAAGAAAGTGTATAGCGGCGACAGCTGCCGAGTAACAAAACCTGGTCAGATCGACGGGCGGCTCGCGCTTCTCGTACAGGTCCTCGCATTCTATGCTGCAAGTCTCAAGACCGCCAGAGAGAATGCTCATGTCATCGACATTGTTCTGGGTGGGAATCGTCCAATTCTGGGGCCTGAGCTCGAAGAGTTCGCTCATCGGGATACCTCCCTTCATGTTCCATTGTCCACCCGCAAGACAGGCCCGACGCCTATTGATTGACTCCTCATACTTGCGGTTGTCAAATAGACATCGATGGGATTTGATCGTATTGAGAGTGAAGCGGACGAAATCGCGAAACGTCGACGGAGTCTGGCCAAAAGGAGGATGAAAGTTGAGATGTCGCAGTTGTTCTTCCTTCACCACGTCCAAAAGGGGGGCGAAGGACGGGAAAGCGTTCGAAACTTCTTTGACAACTTGATCGGGAAGAAAGCTGGAATCAAGAAATTCGCTAAAGACCCGTTGCAGGTCGCATTCCACCATTTGCGTCATGTTGCTGAAGTGGCCAGCATTGAAGCGATATTGTTGCGACTGAGGACAAAACGCGGAGAAGGTAATAATATTATGCTGAAAGGGTAACCCTCGCATCTCCAAGGCAGCGCACTTGCAAGTGTACAACAAATCGAGAGAGATAGGTTTGTCGTTGCCGGTTCGCAGCTTGTTGGCGTGCGGATTAAGCTTGTATCCTCCGTCAAGCTGAAGATAGTATTTGTAGATCAAGTTGCGCAATTCATTCGGAAATTTGAAGAAAACCAAGCCGCCCTGCGCATCGCAAATGCGTGAACTTGCGATTTGAGCCATTGTGTGTGAGAGTGAGCGAGCGTGTGCGAGTGAATGAGTGTGTGGAAATGACTGTGCGGAAATGACAAGGTAAGTTCAAGAGAAGAAGTTAAAGGTAATTCGGTCTTGATAGAGATCTTTGGTGTGCAGGCAGGCTAGATATATGGCTGCGTGAGCAGGTTGATCAAGGTCCGCATCTGCAGCTTTCTCCGATACGTGATGTGGCTGAACTGTGACTAGCGCGGATCAAGGGGTTTTTAGACCGATCACGTGGCACAGCAAGAGTGGCTGTCAAGAATAGATAGATGTACGGACAATATGGAGAGGAAAACTAAGGTAGACTCACCATTTCGTATGTCAGAGAGGCCTAGAAAAGCGCCATAGTTATAACACACCACGCATCAGAGACGGCCGGAACAAGTTTTTTAAGGACGGAGTATCGCCCAATTTTATTTGTTTTTTTATTCTGCCTTTGCTGGTTGCTCGGGCGGTTCTCGATATCGAGTACACAGTATTAATACACAGTATCAATGGATACTCCCACTATCTCGATAGACTATTTTTTTTAGATTTTCCAACTTTTCAACTTTCCCTCCTGCAAAGTTCACAACCACGGCTGGATGTCGAGTGGGCATTAGCAATACGTTCCATAAATGAGTATAAGACATCCGTTTCAGGGACTGATGGTGAATTGAGATGAATTACCAGGACACTTACATCATTGACGGCGATATTGGGCGCCCGACGCCACCACCTTGTGAGCCTGCTTGTTTTCTGTTAGCATTCTGGGCTGCTGAGACTCCTCACATCCAGACGTTTACATACCGCCCACTTGGCTGAGTTTGCCGCCCCTTATCAGAAGATGTTAGCTTTCTCTATATAGAATAGATCTTTCTGGTCGCCATGGTCTGTGGGGATTAACGTACTCCAGGTGACAGCAGCTCACAATGGTGTGGCATCGGAGATGCCCTCGTCGCCGTCGTTAAGAATGATGCCGACCTCTACAAGCCATGGCGGTGTTAGCTGCGGGCCGTCAATGACGTTGTCGGGTCGTGATCTCACTCTCACCACTGATGTCTGCCCCCAATAACGGAGCCCGTCAGCACAAGTCATGTTCAAAAGGAAGTTTGGATGGCTTTGACGACAAACCTACACGCTTTCAACTTCGACTCGTACACACACACACACATTCGTTACCTCGTTTCCTTTGTCGAAATCGAAAAACGCTGCTGCAATGAATCAGTTATCAATTTGCCATGGCACGCGCTCATGTATATGTGTAACACACCTTCCCTCGCCGTCTGTCGCTGTCGCCCTGTCGCTGTCGCCCTGTCGCTGTCGCTGTCGCTGTCGCTGTCGCTGTCGCTGTCGAATTGTCTACCTACTCTAAGATGATCAGCTCACGATCAAGTGTCCAAATCATCCTACCCATTGCATCAGAACACAGTGCACTGCCTCGCATAGCATGCGATGCATTCCCCGCTGATTGACCTTGAGGTCATGCACCATGGTCCTTGACTAAAAGCAGCAAAACACGAGGATACAGCGCGTCAATTATATTCTCACCTCAAACACATACTGTCGAAATGCCGAGACGCCCAGTTATCGTCGACCCCTGGGACTTCCTCGATGGCTAAAGAGAATAGTTAGAGGATGCAATCCCGTTTTCACTTCACCAGAACACGTACCCAGAAGTTCAATCCCACAAGCATCATACTGGAGGACCCCGAACTGTGGCAAGGTCGTCTCAAGGAATACGGATTGGACACTGTCGACTTGAAGATCCGAAACACGCATGTCGACATGGCTGGTGCGGAACAGATACGAGTTAACATTCGACAACCTTCTCAGTGAAAATGTACGTACGTGTTGCCCTTATTGGCGCCCAACTGATGCAACATGGCAGCCTCGAAATGCCTGACCGACTCCCGAGTATTATTAATACTCTAGAATCGCTACGTGGGAGGAAATTGGGAAGGATTAAAAGGAAAAATCTGGCGCTATTAGAAAAGGCAGAAAGTAGGGGGTGGTTTTCGGCTGTTCGGAGGGCGATTAATGTGCTGCGGCGGCGGGGTCATTCTGATAAACTTGTCAGCTCCCTGTTCTATAACGTGTGACGAGAGTAAATTATAAGATTGCATACAGCATCTTGAGATTGGTCAGTGTCGACAGCTGCTTGCCGCATTAGTATATCCCTGTGGTCCCCGGCGGTGAACTGACCTACTCGGTGACGGCTGCGGCCGGCTGTAGTCAGTTATGAAGTTTTGTAAAGTACGCAATAAAGACACTCGATATTGACCCTAATAGACCAGCTTGCCCGTGAAGGCGAAGATGGCCCCCAATGAGGCGGACCGGACCCCAAAGGGTAAGTGATAATGTGTGTATTTATCACTATCGAGGCATAACTAGGGCTTCTCGCATGATGGATGGGCAAACTATGCATTGTAGTGCCCGAGTACTAAGCAAACCAGTAATGACCTGCAGTTCCACCAAAGGCTGTCTTCCCCCGGCCTCCCTCGTTCCAGTCTCCGAGGCAGAGGCACCAGACACCCCATCACGCTCCATCTCTCTTTTGGAAGATTTTGTCGGGTGTTTGCCGCCCAGTCAAGCCAAATTGTTCAATGGATAGGTAGCGGATAGCCCACGCGGCAGCAGCCTTGGAATCACGCGTCAGCAACTTCTTCAAATCATGGTGACCGACTTGCTGATAGAGCCGTGTCCGCTCAGCCAACAAAGCAGGACAGTGGATGAAGACATGCTCGACGGTGTGCTTGCCCTGCTTGCACGGGCAGAGGTCGTCGACGATGTCGCGAACCTGGTGAAGACACAAGGGTCAGTCAAGGGCAGAGACCGGCAAAGGAGAAGGGAATGCGACGAACATGGATGGAGAAGAGGTAGGACTTGAGTCCCACGACACCAGTCCTAAGGTGGAAGAACATGGTGCTCTCAGCACGCGTGAGCTTGGCATAATTAGTGAAGAGAAATTATTACTGGTGGTAAGTTCGTGAGAAGTGGAGCAAGTCGGAGGGAAGATTGGATAGACGAATATGCGCTAGTGATTGGCGAGTCATCGCTATAAGCAGTACCAGCGTTCATCCTGAACAACACTTCTCCTAAAATTCGCCGTCTACTACGTGTATTATGGAATGTCTTCTCGTAGTCACTCAAATGCAAGGGTTGACGAGTTAGAAGTTTCAGTCATAGCCTTTGTTGAATTTTCTCTGCTTCTAGTCACAGTAAAACCTTTCATGTATCGACTCGGGCCTGGGGTGGCCGACCGAAATAGAGGTAGCACATGAAGGTGGTTCAACTTGTCGAAATGTTCAGAGACCAGACTTGGTGGCTTGGTTGGTGTTTCGAGCTGGTGATACACCGCAAGTGCTATCTTGTGTCGTAAAGTACTGATGACCGCAAACATGTCTGCGTTTGATTCTTTAAATGTACAAAGCTCCGAAAACAAATCGAAACTTGCACGCTTCCATGCTATGCAACGCTGTCATTTTCTCATGTCCGTCATACATGCTCACATATGCATCATGCCTTGCGTAAATCACTGACCCCACATGAGAACTCTCCACCGCCAGCCTTCGAGCAGCTTCATGTCCTGGTCTACAACCTCAACATCGCCTCTCTCGATCTTGGCACTTAGTCGCTTCAATCGCTTGGATACGGTCTTGGCCACCTGCAAAGAAACCTCATTGGTGAAGACGTAGAGTACAGCAAAGACAAAGAAGGCGATGCTGGCGAAGCTGTTGCGGCCCAGGAGACTATCCTTGATGCGGGCTACCAGTGCTTTGCTGCGCCAGAATGCGTACTCGGTGCTGTTAGACGCTTGGACGTCGGTTTCCGTCTTATCAGAAGGGCGGCGGAAGATGCGCTTCACGGCTGGGATAAAGGTTGCTCTATAGGCAGTTGTCAGCGAGGTCCCACGATCTGCCGTGTCATGAGATCTTACACAGCCCCACCGATGAGCCAGTTTCTCCAGCGGTGATTTTCGCCATCTTTGATTAGGGTTCCAACCTCCTTTCGCAAGACCTTAAGATCACCTAGCAGGACACGACCTTGGGCCCTGATCTGATCCTCCAACTCTAACGACATGGCACCATCCAGTCGGCCCCTCTTTCTTTGCAGAGACAAATACTCCCGAAGAGCAAATTGGGTCCCGGTCTTGACCGTTTTCAGGTCCTGCGTCGTCGTAGTAAGAGGGTTCAGGGCAGCTGAAGGGCGCGGACCCTCCACCATGCTAGCCTTTTGAGGGTAAGGATTTGGATAGGCTGCAGGGCCAGACATGTGCTCAACTGGAGCTATACTCGTCGGTCCAGGAGGCGGTCCTCCATAGACTGTCCCAGGGTACGGAGCCGTTGGTGTGGTAGACTGAGGCGGCCGAGAGTACGGGTCGACTGAGACCCCCGGCGGCGCTCCAGACGGTGGTGGAGGGTAGGAACCGGGTCCAGTGTACGGACCAGGCGCCGTTGCAACCGGCCGGCCGTCCATGGTCTCGGGAAGCAGGACACCCTAGGGTTACTTAGCGGCGGTGAGAGATAGTGTCTTTCGGGCTGCGACTAGAGCAGAGCGGATCAGGCGGGAGTGGAGGCGGGTCTCTCAGATCAGAGCACAACCGCAACGAAAGAACAATAGGACAAAAGCAAGGAACAAAGAATGGAAAGTCTATGGACAAGGTATGGGGATAATATGAGCAGCGAGAAATTAATGAGGTGGCGGGGGAGCGAACTTGGAGAAGAGCTGGAAACAACTCAGCTCACTGCAGGGCGAAGGCGGAGGGAAGGTGACGGGAAGGTGAAGGCGGCATAAAGGTGGGGGCTTGCCAGCGAACGGGACCCACTGCGGGATGTGGGTCCATCACACCGTTCCAAGTGTGGCGCTAACTCGAGGCTTCAGCCACACATTGGCAGCTTCGCTTTCTCCCGCGGCGTCACTTTCTGCCAGAGCTCAACCAGGTGTGAAGCCTTTCCAGTCTTTCGCAAAGCCAACACCACCGCGCCGGTGCCAATTCCCTCTACAGATACACAATGCCCGAACCAGCGAGCTCACGGTTTACGCCGTCCAACAAGACAACAACTGAGCGCATCTCAGACAGCACCGTAGGCCTCGTCGCGCTCTCCGACTTTCGCAAGCGACGCGCCGAGGTCCTCGACCAGCAAGACCGCGAACGAGAAGCCGCCCTGTCCGGCACATCCACACCAGACCGATCCAACTCCGCGACCCCAGACCCCGGGAGCGACTCGGCCAGCGGTGCGACCAAATCCAAAAAGAAGAAGAAGAAGCTCGGCGGCAGCAAACTATCTTTTGGCGACGATGAAGAGGAAGAGGAGGGTTCGCTGCCAGTAAAGAAAGGCATGAAAGCAGATGAAGACGAGGATGAGAAAAGCACAACCATAAAGAAGTCCAAAGTCGTTGCCAACTCGTCCGTCGCGTTTGTGCCCAAGGTCATGTCGAAAGCAGCCTTGCGACGCGAGGCGGCCGAGAGAGAGGCGCTGCGCAAGGAGTTCCTCGCGATACAGGAGGCCGTCAAGGCGACGGAAATTGCGATACCATTTGTGTTTTACGATGGATCGAATATACCTGGTGGCACTGTCCGTGTCAAGAAGGGCGACTACATCTGGGTTTTCTTGGACAAGAGTCGAAAAGTTGGCGCCGAGTTAGGCGTAGGAGAGAAGGCCAATGCACGAAGAGAATGGGCGAGAGTTGGTGTGGACGACCTGATGCTCGTCCGGGGGTCCATCATCATTCCACATGTGAGTCAAATATGCTTCTATATTTTCGAGTCTTTCACTAATCCTCTATAGCACTATGAGTTCTATTTCTTCATCATCAACAAGAATGCTGGCCCAGGTGGCCAACAACTGTTCAACTACAAAGCCGACGCGCCGCCCAAGAAAGACGGACCGGAACCAGACGAAGCCCCAGCTGCCCCCTCTGGCGGCCTGACCACCGCAGCTGCTCTCAAGGCGGCTGCAGTCAAGGCCCTGCCTGACATCAACACCCTTGAAGGTGCCACAGACGACCCTACCCTGACGAAAGTGGTGGATCGGCGCTGGTATGAGCGCAATAAGCACATCTATCCAGCGAGCATGTGGCAAGAGTTTGACCCCGAGAAGGACTATGACACGGAGGTGCGGAAGGATGCCGGCGGCAACACGTTCTTCTTTTCGAGGTGAAGCCTGTATCGTCGGCAACATTTGGCGAGCCTGAATCAAAGGACCGCTGAGGGAGAAAGATTTACGCCACGAGCGGTGTCCTTGCGCCTTCATCCCGACAGCGTGCGAAGAGTCAAGACGATACCCAGGATAAACAGCCATCCCGGCCAGAAGACCATGACGATCAGCATGTTGCCTCCCGGGCCCAATATTGTTGTTGCAAACTCCATGAAGACCTTCTTCCTCAACTTCTGGATTCGCCTGGATTCCCATACATGTCTCATGGACGTGCGGAATGCTGTCGTCGTCTTCTTGATGGCAAATAGCGAATGGACGGCGAAGAGTCGGGTTGCTATGACTGCCGATGTGAGGGTTGAGGTGGCAAGAAGGTGTGCGTAGAGGAAAAGCAGCGACGACGCCACGGCCACTACTCTTTGGAAGCGGACCGCGATGTCAAAGGTAGGCCCGAGTGCGGCAACGAGATCCGACCGTTGGCGGATGGTCACGCCAGGCTCGTGTTTGGACGAGGTCAAAAGGGCGACTTTGTTCATGATGGCGACGGCAGAAGAGGTCTCGGCGAAGACGTGATCACGACCTACAGCGGTGCCCTGTTTGTTTTGACGTGCTCCAATGCCATCCGAAGCGTGGCGAGCACGTTGCAACTCACGATATATATCAAGAGGCATCTGAAGAGCAGCGGCAACTGCATGCGGTTCATTCCACCCTATGGACTTTTGGACTCGCGGTAAAAGCGCCTCTGAGGATCTCGATAACACATAAAGTTTGGATGAGCATGAACATCAGATGTGATAGAGCTCGCAGCTGCCGCGGCACTTTATGCCTAACATGAGCGATGTCTAGAATTTTCTACCCCTCCATTGTGTCGAGATTGATGCTGTGACAGCCCCACCGCCGCATCCTTTCCCTGGCGACAAACCATGTCGACACGTGGGGCTGACAGTTCGCCGGATCGGTTCTTGAAGCTCACATCGGGCCTCGAGGCTGGAGTGGAAGATCAGCAACGTGGATTCTTGTCGACTCTTATTCGTGGAATCCTTTAGCCCCCCGTGGGATCTTGCAGGCTAGAATTTCCATCTTTCAACTTTGGAACGGTTGCGTTACCCCTCCATGAACCCTGATCTTTAACGCTTTAGCTTCCATTGGCTGTGCACATCAGTTTGATCTTATCGCTTTTATCGCGCTCGTGATTGAAGAGATACCACCTTAAGTAGGGTAGCTCCGGATTTCCTGACCTCTCGGAGTTGGATATGGAGGCATGTGGCGGACCCGTGTTTCGGCCGCCGACCGTGGAGCAAAGAGGCATTCTGACGGGTTGGCTCATCTGCCGTTTCCGGGATGCGTCCGACTCAAGCGGATTGTTTACTCCGGCATTTTCGGGTCATATCGGCCACAGTTAGGAGATGGGTGCTGATACCGCCACACCTGTGTGCCACACTTAGTCATCACACCTGGTCATACACTCCCAGCTCCTAGCTATGGCTGGTGCTTCAGCCACCTGCACAACCAAGGGGCCACCAACTCTAAAATGCGAATCTCGTCACGATCATTACAGCACAAACAAGAATCGTAGTTTCTTCGCCGTCTAGGTACGGATAGTGACAGACCGCCATCTTCAGCCGCTTTCTCTTTTCTCGGGTGTGCATTGAGCGGTCAGATCCCGGCGGCGATGTGTTCCTGCATTTACCCAAAACACAAAACATCCATCTCGAGAGAGGGTTCATTTACGGGAGAGTCACAAGTCGGAAAAGGACCAAAGATTGTTCGGCGGCCCTGGGGTCCCAGACCCATGAAGTCTGTGAAGACTGAACACAACCGCAGCGAGGTGTAACGTTCCCACGAGGGTTTGAGGCGAAATAAAAACGTTTGAGCGACGATCGAATTCACTGCTTTCCGTCCAGTCCGACAGAGCCACCCGCCAAGATCCTTCGTCTGGGCGGCAGTGGCTGGTTGACAGGCACTTTGATAATAGGCACGACCGGCTTTGTCCGCTCGTCAATGAGTTGAGCGCGCCGCCTGCCCACCGGAGCCGAGGATGGCATGACGAGCATGACAAGCGCCGATCCGACAAGTGGTTCTTCAGTGGAGATGCGGCTGGAAACGAAGTCACTTTAACTATTGCGACTTGACTGCACCGCATGACGGATGGGACCAGAAAAACAAACGCAGCGATATGCATATCTTGCAGCCTGGCTCCATGCAGGTTCCAGGTCATCGATCTTCCTGGTCGTATCTGCCAGCGTTTGCATCACAAGGAGCCACCGAGGAGGGCGCGGTTCATCTATTCTTCCCTCGTAATCCAGAATCTGACCGAGGAAGTCCCATCCGGTCTTTGACAACTGATTGGGATCAGACGAAGAGGAACAACGAGACCCTGGAATCGTCCCATCCGCTACTCAAAACGTCCAAGGTGTAATTACCCGTGACTCTCAGCAAGGTCGTCGCTGCAAGCAAGAGGGACTGTCATTGAGACCATTCATGCATATCCATCCCATCCCACTAGCATCCTCCTTTGCTGTGTTCAACACGAGCCAGGGATCGGCAGTCCGCTCCAGGGCACACGCTGTTCGAAAAAGCTGCTAGCTTGCTAGCTGTCAGCTGCCGAGCCGAGCACTAGGCAGGCCCCAGCTGAGTTTACGTGAAAATATAGTGAAATCATGAGGACGAGAGACAATTCTTCTAATAATACACATTTCGCCCCAACCCGAACCAGAATGGTGCCTGCAGCGACAAGCCGGAATCGGGCAATTTTGATCGCTCTTCCAACCCCCATGCTCCGCTCAGCGCCGTCTTCACCCATTCTACCTACCGTACGAGTGAGCGATGCGACCCCCCCTCACCCCTCTTTTTGTTTCTCCCGCTTGTCTGCCAACGGGCACGATCTACGCCGCGTTTGTGGGGGAAGAGGGGATGGGATGGGATAGGTGAGAAAGGATGTCGCTTGACGGCGACACGGTCCATCCACTTGACTGCGGTCGCAAGAAATACGAGAATGGTACCCTTTGTGCTACGTCATGGTTCAACGGTGCCACCTCTCCGGCCTTACCGACTTTCATGCAATGGATGGCTGGGACTCCCGGGTTTAGGCTCTTTGATGGCATGCTGTGTGGAAAGTCAACTGGCGATCTTTTGTCAATGTCGAGAGGATTGGTAAAAAGTTTGACGATGCGATGTGTACTTATACCTGCGTGATGTTCCTCGTCTTAACTCTTGAGATTTGGCATCACAGCATCACGCTTCTTCCGTCTCATCTCATTTCATCCCACCTAATCCCACTTCATAGTAAACATAAACTCATCCTCTCAAATTAAAGACCCCTCAACCCATCACAACCCTCACCAACCCTCAAAATGCACTTCCTTGCCAGCCTCCTTCTCCTCGCCCCAGCCCTCGCCTCCCCCATCGCCCAGCGCGAGGAGACGTGCGGCCAGAAATCAGGCAAGCTCTCCGAGTGGACGCTCACGGGTTTCGACTACCACGCCAGCTACATCTTCAGCACGCCTTCCCACCAGAACTCGTGGGGCTACATCAGCTTCAACGTCTCCAATCCGGTCCTCGACTACACCGTCGCCTGCTCCGCCGCCAGCAGCCGTCTCAACGACTTCTTCTATGGCGAGCAGGTCTATCAGTGCACCCCGCCCGAGGGCGGGGAGAGCACGGCCACGTCCTTCACGTGGAGCACGCCTGAGAAGGCTGTTGCGTTGAACCAGTCGTGGACTTGTAATGATGATCCCAAGTACCCGTAAGTCACATCCTCTCAACTCCCTACCGGTTTGCCTTCTACCTCGTGGGGTTTCCCCTGGCGATGAAACATTTGCGCCGAAAGCGTCACGGAGTACGGTTTGCCATAAGAAACGCCGAGGCTAATTGGAATGTGAACAACCAGAGCCCGCTACACCGCAAAGGGCGGCGCCGTCGCCGATCTCCAGTGCGAGGAGACGTTCTGGCAAAACGACAACTGGACCATTGGCCAGATTTACTCGACGCGCAACATCAACTGCGGCATCATCACGCTGCCTACCCCGATCAAGGAGATTTCCGCGGTCGCTTAGACGGGACCATTCTAAACCACGGTTCATGGGTAACCAGAGTTCCATCGCGGGGCTCAATTCCATCCGCACATAATTGACGACGCTTTACACGACTTTTACGATGATTTGCCTGTTTTGCTTTCACGACACTCCTTTGAAGGATGCTTCGCACTTTCGCATAGTTCCGGCGCCTAGAAAACCCTTCCCGGCCATTGACCATGATGATGGGGGTTGGGATGCTATTTCGGGATCAAAATGGGACACGGAGCATATAGAAGCATGTTTGGAATAATTCTAATGATCTAATTCTTCTTCATAACTGAGCAGACTCACTGAATGCCCCGTTCGGATGACCGTGGCTTCATTGTTACGTTCAAGGATGTCCATATGTAGTGCCTATGGCTCACCAGACGCCTCTCATCATTCATGATAGACCTCCTGATGAGACACTTGACCAAGCAATTTGAAAGAACGCCTTTGGACCACAACTTCTCAAGAGGCTGGGATCATCGAGACATCAAATCAATGGGGTATCTTCTTCTCCTTCCTATCAACCGTCTTCCTTTCTCTGTTCAAGCCTTTTGGGTCTTCATCCTCATCTAATTAAGTCTCCCTTCAGTCATCAGCCGTCTGCCGACACAGCCACGGGTCCTCCATCAGTTCTCGGGCGGATAACCTATCCTCTGGTTTCCACTGCAGCATCTTCCTCAGAAACACCAAGAACTCGGCTTGCTCCGCTCCCTCGAGATTACACTCTTCCTCCTCGAACGAGGACTCTGGTATCTCGCCGTCGACAACTAGTTTTCCTGTCTCTCGCGCGTCAGTCTCACCCGGCCTACATTGCAAACCCCTCGCACGGTCATCAACAAACCTCCATCGTCAAAAAAGTCTTTCCATGTCGACCCTCTATCCAGAAGATCATCGGGCGGTGGTCCGAGCAAAGACACCGTCCTCGCAAAGTGGGCTGCCCGGGATGCATTCCGATCGCGGTGTCGTGTGTTGTAGAGTAGCTTCCCCTCGAACAAATCCCAAACCTGGCAACGGTGAAAAATCAGCGTCAGCATTTGGTAGGCCCCTCGCCGCAGGCGAGTCTCTCACCATCAATCCCAAAGCCCATATATCAATCTTTTCGTCCCAGGGAATTCCGAGGATGATTTCGGGCGCGCGGTACAGATCTGGCATCACCTCGCCGTCGAAGTCGCCTTCTCCGTATTGCGCATCGCCGAAATCTGAAATGACAGGATCGCCTGGATCATCTGGGATCTCGAGCCCCGTTGATGCGTAGGTGGTACGATCACTCATGACTTTTCTCGCGCTTGGAAGCCTCCATTCTTCGTTCACTAGGACATCCAAGATTGTCGTGTCTGAAATTGAGAGCATAATGTTTCCATCTTGAATATCTGACGTGTGTGTTAGTGAAGCAGATCTATGCCCCGATGCAGAGAACACCTCAGCTTCTGAGGCGCATGATGGTGAAGTGTTGCAGGAGCATAATCATCCTCACCAGTATGGACGACATGTGCAACTGAATGCATATAGTCAATGCCCAGTAACAAGCCGTATATCAACCCTTTTAAGAGATTCTCTGGCAGCTTGCCGCCTGCCAACTCTCGAATGTCGGCCAGGGATAAGCCTAGAGTCTCGAAGACCAGACAAACATGCGGGCCGA